AAGTAAAGCCACACTTAACAAATTGATCATTTTTTTTTTTTTAACTGTTTAAAGAAGTTCATGCACATATAATATTTTTTCAGTTGTGAATGTTTTACTAAATTTAAAAACTTTTATCTTTATTATATAATATATAAAGATATGTGAAATAGTTGTCAAAAAATTGAAATGAGAACAGCGGTTTTTTTATTGGTTGTTTTCCTTAATCTTTAGATTCAGTCTAAATATTTATCATCATATATTTTACCACAATAATAATTAATTGGAAATATATTTTATATTTATTCTGTAATTTTCTGATGCATATTACATTTCCACTTAAGAGTAATTGAATCTGAATTTTTGTAGTTCATAAAGATAATTTTGTAAATATTTTCTGGATGAAATAGTTATAACATCAGATCAGATAGTTTATAATCAATATCACTTCTCTTGCCTGAGGCTATATTTTATCATTTGAACTTTTATGAGTCAGCCTTGCAAGATTGTCATATCATTTTCTGTCTTGTCTTTAGTACACCTGTTCTTACATGCAGAGGGAAAAAAAGGTACAGTACACCTGATATAGTGGTGTACTGTATCTGTGGTATATGTGATATTACACAGAGGGAAAAGGTTTTTTCCCTCTGGTGTAAGATCACATATACTAACATTTGAAGTTCTACCAATGTTTGGAAATTCAAATATCCATTTTTTTTTTAGTTTGGAGTTGTAACTGAACACAATTCAATTGGACTCCTAAAAACATCTTATACCAAAATAAAAAAAAAATGCTTCATTAGAATAGCATTTTAAGTGTTGTAATCTAACATGGGTTGGAACTTAAAGATAAAATATTTTAAAAAATGGTTGAATAATCTATTTTTTTGTTAAATTTATTAAATTAGTTAAATCAATGTTTTTAATTTTATTATTTTTTTGTGTTTGTGTATTTATTTATTTACATGTAAAAAACAGCAATCGGATGTGTTGAATCTATCAAAATATTTGATTAAGATATAAAAATAACAGACATAATAAATAATATAAATACCAAGGTTATTCTCCTTTGCAAAAATTTTCCTTTTGTACATATGTAATAATTTTCTATTACAAAGCTGTGATACATATACAGTTTACAATACCCAGTTGATTCAATGAGTAATTACAAAATAAAACTAAGTGTAAATTGTAAGTAAATAACAAATAATATTTAGATAATTTTTGTTTTTTAATGGAATTTGGGTGTTTAAGAAGCTGATATCTATTATTTTCATCATAAAAATATTAATGTTTTTTTAAGTGTGTTTGAGATCTCTCAAAAAATTATATATTTTATCTTATTGAGAAAAAAAACTATCAAGCAGTTAATTTATTCATATTCACATTATTACTATAACATAACAAATAATTTTAAAATTATTTTTAATAGAAATGTTAAACTTTAAAATAAATTTTAAATTCTTAAAATTAAAAGTAATGAAAATTTTGAAAGTATTGTCTTCTGTGTTTATTAACACAGAAGACAATACTTTCAAAAATAAGTTTTAAGAATCATTTAATGGGTATTTTTACATTATATTCATCAAAGAAAATTNCGTTGAATTTTCATTGATGTTAAGCCTAACAAAAATTTTTTAAAATAATAATCATCGCTATTGTATCGTTAAAAATTAGAAAGTTAAGCCTCGTTTAAATACTGGCTCCCTTTCATGGTCGAATGAGTGTTGCCAGCTAAAACACGTAAAAATAATATTAAAGTAGCCAAGACATAGCCAAATATTGTAGTGCCACATCAATAGCGGACATTTGAAATTTGTCAACTAGGACGGTTGGTTAACCGAGGGGTCGGATAATCGAGGCTCTACTGTATCAATCAAAAAAACACGAAAAAATTGAGTGTCATATTTTACAAGCTAGAAGCAAGTAATTTACATAAAATGATAAATTTATTCTCATGTCATAACAAGATTGTTCAAATAATGATCTTGCTGCATTCCATATACACAATTAAAAAATTAAATATAAATGTAAGTAATTGTTATATAATGAAATTAATGAAAACTTGAAAATTTTCAGATGAATGAAATAAAAAAAGTTCCCAGAGGAGGAGTACATTTAGCTGTGAGTATTTTCATATTAAATATAATTTGTGAGAAGATAAATGTAATATTTTTTATTTTAATATAAAAAAATATAAAATGTATGCTTACATATGTTGTTAACTTTTTAAATTTATGTAATCATTAATTGTAACAATATTTAAAAACATAAGCCAATTTTTACTATAATATAAACAAGAATTAAGGACCTGACTTTTTAAAATCATTAGCATTTTTCAGGTAACATGCCAGCATTTCATGCAATAAATTATGTAGCAAATGAATTACATCTGCCAAACTTCTATATCCATGTGACTCAAATGTAAATAAAAGTAAATTAGCATTTCTGTATATAAATGGTATTAAATTAAAACTAAACAATTGCTAGATTAGATTGGGCTATATTACTCATACTTCTAATACTTTCTGGGTAGCTTCTGTGTGAGATACAAGAATGACCTTTGACCCATACGGTTCTATTCCCACAATTTTCCTGTAACTTATAGTCTAAACATGTTTGCCTATATTTCCTATGGCTGTCATTCGTTTGTAAGTAATATACTCCTAGCTAGCTCCATCTATTGACAAAATTTTAAGATTGAAATTCGAAATTGATATAAAAATGTTTTTACAACAAAAGGTTTCCTGCCAATTTTTTTTCATTAAGTTATTGCTAGTATTATTATTAAATAATTTATTGTTTACTTTTTAAAAATATAAATACAAATAAGCAAAAACATCACAATTATTGTGGTTTAAATGCATTTTTGTTATGACGTGCTAATTTGCATATTATACAGAATTGTTGATATATTTTTCAACTTCTTTATTAAATTTATATTCTTAAGAACATTTATGATATACAGTATGTAATATGTTCAAAATCATATTAATGAATTTAAATGCAATACATTACTATAAAATGAAAAGTTATTTAAATAGAATTATATATGTACAGTAATACCCCGACTTACGCGAACCCGGAGTTACGTGATTTTCAAATCTCGTCGATTCGTCTTTTGTTTGAGTGCCACGCAACCCTTGATTACTCACTCCCCCCACACTATTGTTCAGCTTACATGTTCAGACGTGTCGCGCGGAATCCACAAATAGCTACAATTTATTTTGTGTTATTTATTTCTGTGTTTATTATATCTACGGAGACTCGAGAGACTCTACTATGTCATCCAAACGAAGTAGAACTAATTCTTCTGCATCAAACAAGAAAAGAAAAACTTTATCTTTGGAATGTAAAGTTAACATTGGGTATGTTCGTAAAGTCGAACGAGTTAAGCGAGAATGAAGTCATCGTTATTCCTATTTCGTTAGACTTTTCGAACGATTCGTTACTAACGCGTTTAACTCGTTTGACTTTACGAACGTACCCATTATTAAAGACTTCGATACAAAAATGAAAATTTGTGAATTGGCAAAGAAGTTTGATCTACCGGAATTGTCGGTCAGAACAATTATAAAAGGCAAAGAAAAAATTCTCGAAGCTGTGAAAAATGCTCAATCTTTAAATTCAAGCATCATTCGTAAACGTCACAGTATTATCGCTGAGATGGAAACAATGTTAAAATTATGGCGTAATAATCAAGTAAATGTGAAAAATTGTAAAATAATATAGGCCTAATTTGTTATACATATGTATTATCTAAGATTTTATTAAACATTTTTTTCTAAATTATTGTTTTCTTTAGTCTCCGGCCCCAATTAAAAATTATTTGTATGTATTTATATGCGAAATTATATCCCGACTTATGCAAATTCGACTTACACGGTTACCGCTCGGTTCCACCTATCGCGTAAGTTTGGGGTATTACTGTATTTATTTGAAAGTCAGTGTTGTTATAAATATGTATTAAATTTTTTTTTATTAAAAGAAAACTTTAGAAAAATAAATTGTATAAGTATACAGGAGCCATAGTAATGGTTTGGAAAAGCTGCATATACAGTTTTGTTATTTACAGTAGCCAAACCATAGATATCATATGTTTCCTAATTATTAATTTTCAATTCTTTATCTTGTCCACATTTAATTAAAAAATCATCATAAGGTAACTATATCAAGAAATTAATTTCCAGATATAAAATATTATATATCAAATTATGACAGTCCAATACAGTTGTTATAATTCTGAGTAAATACAGGGTGTTTCATATAAAATCATGTCATCTATTAGCATTTTGGGAAATATGAATTACTAACAGAAATACCATAACCCTCGCTGGAATTGACTTATCCAACATGTTAACTCTCTCCAAATCAATACTCTTTCTGATATTTGTTACAACGAGTCAGTGTTCTCAGTGCTGTGTGAAGAAGAAAATGGTGTATTTGCAAAACTAATGTGTTTTTATCATCAATACTTATTTCTTTATGTGATCTTTGTAGTGTAAAATGATTTGTAATAAGTGTTAACAAGAAGGAACACAAAAGATCTATGACAGTATACAAATAGGTTGCAGTTTCATATGGAACACTCTGTACTTTTCAATAAATAAATTACAGTAGAGCCTCGATTATCTGACCTAATTGGGGACTGGGGTTGGTCGGATAATTGAAAGGGCGGATAACCAAAAAGTATGAAAAAATCTATTATTAGTGTAGTATATTATTATATCCCATGTAATTAGTATATTAGTATATCGCTATTAACCTACTTTGCGTTGAATTTTCATTGATGTTAAGCCTAACAAAAATTTTTTAAAATAATAATCATCGCTATTGTATCGTTAAAAATTAGAAAGTTAAGCCTCGTTTAAATACTGGCTCCCTTTCATGGTCGAATGAGTGTTGCCAGCTAAAACACGTAAAAATAATATTAAAGTAGCCAAGACATAGCCAAATATTGTAGTGCCACATCAATAGCGGACATTTGAAATTTGTCAACTAGGACGGTTGGTTAACCGAGGGGTCGGATAATCGAGGCTCTACTGTATCAATCAAAAAAACACGGAAAAATTGAGTGTCATATTTTACAAGCTAGAAGCAAGTAATTTACATAAAATGATAAATTTATTCTCATGTCATAACAAGATTGTTCAAATAATGATCTTGCTGCATTCCATATACACAATTAAAAAATTAAATATAAATGTAAGTAATTGTTATATAATGAAATTAATGAAAACTTGAAAATTTTCAGATGAATGAAATAAAAAAAGTTCCCAGAGGAGGAGTACATTTAGCTGTGAGTATTTTCATATTAAATATAATTTGTGAGAAGATAAATGTAATATTTTTTATTTTAATATAAAAAAATATAAAATGTATGCTTACATATGTTGTTAACTTTTTAAATTTATGTAATCATTAATTGTAACAATATTTAAAAACATAAGCCAATTTTTACTATAATATAAACAAGAATTAAGGACCTGACTTTTTAAAATCATTAGCATTTTTCAGGTAACATGCCAGCATTTCATGCAATAAATTATGTAGCAAATGAATTACATCTGCCAAACTTCTATATCCATGTGACTCAAATGTAAATAAAAGTAAATTAGCATTTCTGTATATAAATGGTATTAAATTAAAACTAAACAATTGCTAGATTAGATTGGGCTATATTACTCATACTACTAATACTTTCTGGGTAGCTTCTGTGTGAGATACAAGAATGACCTTTGACCCATACGGTTCTATTCCCACAATTTTCCTGTAACTTATAGTCTAAACATGTTTGCCTATATTTCCTATGGCTGTCATTCGTTTGTAAGTAATATACTCCTAGCTAGCTCCATCTATTGACAAAATTTTAAGATTGAAATTCGAAATTGATATAAAAATGTTTTTACAACAAAAGGTTTCCTGCCAATTTTTTTTCATTAAGTTATTGCTAGTATTATTATTAAATAATTTATTGTTTACTTTTTAAAAATATAAATACAAATAAGCAAAAACATCACAATTATTGTGGTTTAAATGCATTTTTGTTATGACGTGCTAATTTGCATATTATACAGAATGGCATATAAACAAAACCAAAACCTAAAATTTTGTTGCAGACATCATCATAAGTCTTTGTCAGATGACAGAAAACAATAAATAGAATGAAAATAAACCACTACTCAATCAGAATTGAGCATGCATTTTTCAAATGGTGCAATTATAAAAAAAAAGGGCAAAAAAATTGGTTTGTTTTTATTTCTGTACATTGTATTCAAATTATAAACAATCAAATCTGTATTAACAAATTCTTACCTATTATATATAAAAATTAAATGAGAAAAAATGATCTTTATCATTGACTACTAATAAAAATCAAACAGCTATTTATTTTCAAATTCAAGCACTTTTAATAAAGGTCAACAAAGGTCAGTCCACAGAAACATGACACCTAAAAATCATCAGACCTAAAAGTGTTAATTAAATGCTAAGTAATTTTCCTAGAGATAGACATTAGGTGCCATTTCTTATTAAATTTATTAATTAATTTAGAAGATTTTGGAAGAAGAAAATGGGCCTGAAGCAGGACTCAAACCCTCAACTGCCACTTATGGTGTGGATGCATTGCCAGTTATGCTATCTGGACTTCTGTCTGATCTTCACTTTCAGAACTGTTAAGTTAGATATAACCATATTGGTTACTCATGGGAAAAACTTAGTTCCTATGACCTAAAAACTTTTATTATGGCATTCATCCAGCTATCACTTTACCCAAGCATGTTGTATATGTACAAATATAAATATATACAAGCCCAATAGTTATATTAAAACCAAATTTGCCAGATTAAATTGAGCTATATTACTGCTGCTATTAATAATTAAATGCTAAATAATTTGGCTTAGAGGTAGGCATATTAAATTTAATAAGAGACAGTGCCTAATGCCTATTTCTAGGCCAAATTACTTAGCATTTAGTTATTAATAATTGTAATATAGTCCAATTTAATCTGGTAATCATTGGGTTTGCAGATGTTTATATTAATAAATGGGATTGTCTACCAAGTGTGTATTTTAATTGTATTTTACATGAGAAAACTAAGGTCAACTATAATGCAGTTATTAAATTTATTTCTTATTGGCTTTATCAGATTAGCATTACAGAAATGATTAATTATCTAGACTGCTAAAGAATTGTTATAATTAATTGCCTTATTTTTCTTTTAGATTTAATTTATCTTCAGAAATTTTTAGCTTTCTTTTCCTCGACTATTTCAAATAAAGATGCTTTTAACTGTTCTATGAGAGTGTTTTTTTTTATTTTCTATCACTTTTTTTACAATATTTTTCAGTAAATGTGAAGTTATTTTTTTCACACTTGTTTTTTTATTGAATACTTACATGTTGAAACTATAAATATTAGAAATTACAATGGTTTAAATTAATTGATTTAATATCAACATTACAAAAATGCAAAATTTATCTGTTTAATGTCATCAAATTTGACAAGTTTGCTTTTTTTTTTATCCAGTTCTGTATCAAATGTACAAATTTACATTTATTAACTACTATTAAAAAACAGTAAACTTGCTTTTTTTAAAGTCATACTCTAAAAGTTTAATTCTTAAAAATTTTTAAACAAAATTTTATTAAAAGATCATTAATAATTACAATTATTATCTCATATAATAATCAGAGTCGTGTGTCTTATTTAACAGACTTTTTCTTTGTTTTGAAGGAAAAAATTCATAAGTTGGCATTAGGAATTTAACCTGTGCCAGTCACTATTGGGTAATTTAGATCCTAGACACTTTTAAAAGTGTAATAACATGGAAATGGTTCATTATCAGATTTGTTGCTTTATGTATTTTCTTTTGACACTTCAAAATGTGGAGTAATGGAAGGAGACTTGCATTGCTTTATTGCTTTAGGATATTTTAGTTTTCATACATTTAGGTCGTACTGATCCCATAGTATGTATTATGTTACATAGTATGTAAATTTGATTTTATGTTGTTTGTTACAATAAAACTATAAATAGGTAGTAATTACTTGTATGACTCATTCAGGGGCAGATCTAGGTTTTTTGGGGTCTAGGGCTTATTGAAGTCCCCTATTTTTTGTTTGATTAAGAATCTTTAAATTGGGGTTTAAAATTGCAACTTGGTGGCCTGATCAATTAAGTTACATTGATTACAATAAAATAAATAATACTATAAATTATCATTATTATTATATTATTAATACTAACTATTTTTTACTATATGATAAATGCTCATTGTTATTGAAAAAGTATTAAAAATTTATGATGATAATTCAATTTTTGTGGGCCCTTGATACATGGGGGGTCCAGGGCTTAAGCCCTATTAGTCCCTATGTAGATCTGCCCCTGGACTAATTAGTTTATTACTATTGTATGATCTTTTCACTTGAAGAATGGATGTATGTATTATCAAGTACTGTATTATCAGCTATGCATTGTTCAAGAATATCTTACTATTGTGTATCTAAGTTAGTTATCAATTTTTGTAACTTTTACTTGTTACTATACTTTGTGTTATGAGATTGATAACTTGCTGATAGCAAATTATTTTACTAGTTTCCTCTGAGATTTATTTTGGATCTGAACTCAGTGCATCATCGGACTTATCAATTTCATTGTGAATGTGTCTCTTTAATCCGATTTTCAGTTCGGTAGACTCTCATATACAGTTTTCAGGTTATGAACTTCTTTTATTGGTTTGTCAAATGCATTTCGGACTCATTTGTATTTTAAGTCCCTCTTCAGTACAAACTCAGATTCTATTTTCTAAAAACCCCAGTGTATAATTGGTAACGTTGGAAAGAGTTTAAAAAATACAGCCATTTACAAACACTTCAAATACATATTCACATTAATACGTTGTGCTCTTTACAATTGTTCATAAAAACCTTCATAATTACAACTTTTAAAAAATGTTCTCCATTGAAATGTTGCAGCAATAATGAACGTTTTTTCAGGTTAATAACACGTGGTATATTACTATTACACACTTAAGAGAATACATCCACACTTTTACAATAAATTTCGCTTTCTCTCTCTTTTTTTTTTTTATAAATTTCAGTACATGCTGTGGTAAGTCTTATATCAACAATTGACAAAATGAACAGGAATGTAAGAAAAACTGCTATATCTATCAATCATCCTAACAAAAGAACAATAAGCATATATGAGAGCATGCAGTGTGGAGATAGGATCTAACTCCAATTCCTAACACCGGATGCAAGATCGGGTTAGTGAAGCCTGCTCACGAGGTCTGGGATGGCTATAAATTAATATATAGAAAGATTGTCAAAATCCTTTTTTAATCTAGGAAACCTGACATCAGTTAGGATAGAAGAGCCATGTCCTAACTCATGCGGAAATACAGATTCATGAAGACCAGTAATACAATCTATCTTTAGGTATATGTTCAAGTGGGAAGGGTTTGAGTCTGTTTTAATCTAATCTCAAATTCAATTCATTTAAATGACATTCTATCAACAAATATAAAAAGAAATCTTTAATATATATATTTGCAATTTTGAGGAATGGGAATAAAAAGTATATTTTATCTCTTTATCACTTAATTGGCTACAAGTTGGCAAGACTTGCCCACATTGTCTGCAGATGGCCTGAAAATGATGTTTGAGATCAAGGTCGTATAATCCTGATCTAGTCGGGCTGCTGACACCAGTTACGATTGACTTATGCTATAAATATTGTGAGTTAGGATGCAATATTTAACTATTTAAAAGGAGGGCTTATTCTATCGAGCGGGAGGAGTTGCTGGTAAGTCTGATCATAGCTGGGTGAATGTCTGGAGTCAATTAATTGAGAGTGTCACCAACTGTAACTAATAACAAAGATTTACTAAATAAACTAAATCAATGAGGTACATAATTCAAAATACAAATGTAACTGAACATAATCAAGTCTAACTAGAGTTATACTTCTAAATCGAGAGTATACTGCTAAACCGAGAGTTAGAGCTTGCATCAATTTAAACTTACTACCTTGACTGATGGTCTAGAAGGTAGTCTTCTCTTTAGCGATGGAGTTTCTTAGTGAAGCTCTTAGATGGAGGAGGGATGAGGGAAAGGCACAAGTGAGAATTGCAAGAGAACTCTATTCTTATGGCAGGTTCTTGGGGATTGTTGACTGTCTTCCTATGGCAATGTTTCTTTGGTCATGGACTGCCATCATTATGGCACCTCCTTTTCTGATTTCTCTGGACTGTGTGTCTCCTACAGCAATGTCATATTTCTGTTGACTGCACTGTATGGCATATCTTTTCTTTCATAGATTGCCCCAAATGGCAGGAAAATCGTTTTTTTATTATAATTTCTGACCAGTAGCGTTAAAGAATTTTCAGTCGCTAACGGGATGTACTGGGGTGTAGACACTCAGATGGTTGTCGTGAATAGTGATAAGGATGTGAGAAAGGGAAGTTCGATTTCCCCTTTTTGTAAAAAGTGACAGCTGTGTCTTCCTTTTTTGTAAACAATATGTAACAAATAAATATAATTTCTCAGGCTAATTAACTGCTATAATTACAATTCTCACACAATACAAAATGATTAAACTAGGATATAATAAAAATCAAAGTATATAAACTTCACATGAATTGGATAAGAGAGAGAATTTACAATATGTTTCATAATACCTCTAAATATTAATTGAGTTCTCTTCATTGGCAGCAATCTTTTTTATTCAACTTCAACTTAACAATGATTTTATACTGATTAATAATGTGTTTTATGTGTATTCTAACAACGTATGTCCAAGATGTCAACCACAAATCAAAATTTCATTTGATTTGTGGTTGTGAACTATATACAAATTATATAATTATGTTAAAAAATTTGTTACGATCAGTTGAGAATTATCAGCTATTGATCTAATGTTAAGATATGAAAACAACAACTCCCTATGTAACAGGCTAAGGCCTAGTACAAATAAAAGTTAATGGAATGAATTAATTACTTTGTGAGGTGATATCACAAAATCTTGTTTATTTTATCAGTTAAATATTGGATTAAAATAATTTAATTGACTAATTTTCTCTGCTTTTTCAATTATTACTAAATTAATTTAAAAATTTATTTAAATTGATATAATAAATATATATATATATAATTTTTTTTTTTCAACTAGGGAGCTGTGATATCACCAAGTGATGAAGATAGTCAAACATTTTTTGTTAGTGCTGCTTGTGAAGAAGTATATAGACTACGTGGTGAGTATAAATTTGTATTTTTGAAAGGATTTAAGTTGAATAATTTCTTTCAAAAGGAATATGAAAGAACTAATGTAAACAAAAATTGAATTAAATTAACTTGAGAAACAAAACCTTAATTTCCAACATTTAGGACTAATTGCAGAGAGTTTTATTTTAACTTTCCATCATTTTTATACTAAAAATGGTGTATAGCCTTTGACTTACTATGCTACAGTTTAAACTTCATTGCTAAGATGCAGAATGTCTTTGAATAGGGCCTAAACAAACAACCTTAAAACTTCAGCTGTTACATTTACCATGGTTTATCTCAGATTTTAGACATTGGTGAATCAACTGGATGGATCCTTTCATTAAGTCACAAAAATGAGGGAGAACACGAATGTAGCAAAATGCCCCAAAGAAGAAAGAATTTTTGATAAATTAATTGACAACTATCTGACTGTCAACAAAAAAGGATAAATTGTTATATATATTCTATCAAATAAAAAATTCCAAAATAAGATTTATAAACTGGAAACAATAGATTACTGTCTTAATTTTGTTTTTATTCATATTTCATACATATGAAAGAAAAAAGTTAGTTTACACTTGTTTTAATGTATCAAAATCACAATTTAATCAGTGGTAATTTTGGTTGCTTTTGTCATTTTTATTTTTTAAATAGGTATCTTTTATTCTCTATGATCAGTTCGGTGCTTTCCTTTGTTCAGTTAACTTAATCATCTGCACTTGACTGGCTTTGACAGAAAGCAATACATTTTTATTTTGGAATTAATTTATAATTACTCTTTAATAAAAGTTATAAACAGAAAAATCAACATTACTTTTTAAAAAGAATTATTTTAAAGGTTTTTTTTTTCTTCAAGGAAAAAATTGTTAGTCTAATTTTGGAATTTTTAATTCTATTTCAAATCATCATCAAGTAATAATTGTTGTTTCACAGTTAATAATTGACTTCCTTTTCTCAAATGTTTAATTTATATCCAATTTGATTAAAACTACAAAATTCTTATCTAGAAAATGTGTATATGATTTGAAACTTTTGATCATAATAAAATCCTAAAGAATTATATTTAGATCTCACATTATTGTTTTGTTTTTTATAGTTCAAATATTGTCTCTCTACTGCATTAATAACATCTAAAATGTGGATAATATTTGTTCTTAATGAAATTTCTTTGTGACAACAGAGGAAATAAAATAGCAATTTCCTTTTGAAACAAGTTATAAATTTCCCACTGAACAAATCTAGGAAGTTGGTCTTAAAACAAGTTTCTAATTTTGTCTAAACTGAAGTCATCAAAAAATATCATTCTTGCAATACACTTTTTCGTGAACCACAATTTTAATGACAGATTCTGGTTGAGGTCTAGATTCTGTCTCTGCAATCTATCCTAAATTTTTAACAAACAATGGCTAATTTAATTAGTCATCATCAGACTCTAGTTACAGGAAATATCAAATTCTAGAACATTGTTTTTAATTTTTTTTTTACAATATCAGTTTGACTGAAATAATGCATTAATGCATTTATTTTTGTTTTATTACACATTTTATATTATTAGCTTTGGTGCTTTTATAAGTCATCATGAGAGTTTTAATTATTAAAAAAAATACAGTANAACATAATTTTAAAATTATTTTTAATAGAAATGTTAAACTTTAAAATAAATTTTAAATTCTTAAAATTAAAAGTAATGAAAATTTTGAAAGTATTGTCTTCTGTGTTTATTAACACAGAAGACAATACTTTCAAAAATAAGTTTTAAGAATCATTTAATGGGTATTTTTACATTATATTCATCAAAGAAAATTTATTACAAAATGTATTTTAGAATTTTATACTCTCGGTTACATCCAGAAATTATTACATGGAGAAATCAGATAGTCTAATATTGTGGAAGATAGTATAGGATGTCTATATAAAGTCAATATACACTTTAAATCTTTTACTTATATATGACATCTGTACAAGGTTTAGAACATAAAAATAATCTGAAAGTGCATTAGAAAATAATTTTGTTCTATTTTTAAATAAAATCTTGTCAGACTAATAGATTGGCAGTGATAGTTCAATTGCTTGGCTATTCTCTCCATCAAGTTTCCTCCATGGAAAATTTCTATGAGTTTAATAAAAGATATGATTTACTAAAACCTCATTATTTAATTGATCATCAAGATTTTGACAATCAATTAAATAACAAGATCATGAATGCAATTCATGCCATAACTGAAACATAACTAGAAAATACACTTATAGAATTGTAAGATCATATGTTTCAATAATGAATATTGTATTGAGTCTCAATGACTATCAAATGTCAAATTGTCATCATTATTGGATTTTTTGCTATGGAAAAATACTAAAAATGGGATTTACTCCATAATAATTATAAATTTATGATTGTATACTCTAAAAACTAGAATAAATAAGATAATTAATTGTAATTATATATCGTAAGGTATATAATTTATACACTAATTTCATTAAAATGTGTTTAATGTGATTGGAAAATTGTAAAGCTTATTTATTAATATATATATATGGTATAGAATCTAAGTTATTAAAATTTATTTAGCTAAAATTAAGGTATTTTAAATATTGCTAGAAAAATTTTTTCCAGATTTCTTATTCCATTGAAGACTTATGAATTCAACATTGGATTAATATTTTAAAATAAATTTATTTTTTTGCTTGAATTAGAGATGTCTTTCTTATTATTATCTTTATTTTTTATATTTATATAGACAGATTGTTGAAGGTCAGCTATACAAGTACACAAATGTTGTTAAAGGTTGGCAATATAGGTGGTTTGTTCTTAATCCTGAAACAGGAATGCTTGAATATTACATGGTAATAATTTAGTTATTTTAATAATAATAATAATTAAAATTTGAAATATGTAAGATATATAATTTATACACTAATTTCATTAAAATGTGTTTATAATTATAGGCATATGTTTTTAATTTTGTCAAATTTCTGTTTATGAACATTTTTTATTTTTATAATATTTTTTCTTATTTTGATATATTTTTCAACTTCTTTATTAAATTTATATTCTTAAGAACATTTATGATATACAGTATGTAATATGTTCAAAATCATATTAATGAATTTAAATGCAATACATTACTATAAAATGAAAAGTTATTTAAATAGAATTATATATGTACAGTAATACCCCGACTTACGCGAACCCGGAGTTACGTGATTTTCAAATCTCGTCGATTCGTCTTTTGTTTGAGTGCCACGCAACCCTTGATTACTCACTCCCCCCACACTATTGTTCAGCTTACATGTTCAGACGTGTCGCGCGGAATCCACAAATAGCTACAATTTATTTTGTGTTATTTATTTCTGTGTTTATTATATCTACGGAGACTCGAGAGACTCTACTATGTCATCCAAACGAAGTAGAACTAATTCTTCTGCATCAAACAAGAAAAGAAAAACTTTTATCTTTGGAACGTAAAGTTAACATTGGGTATGTTCGTAAAGTCGAACGAGTTAAGCGAGAATGAAGTCATCGTTATTCCTATTTTGTTAGACTTTTCGAACGATTCGTTACTAACGCGTTTAACTCGTTTGACTTTAC